TACAATAATAATGAACACAGCTTATGTACATATCTACATAACAAACTATAATTCGTTTAAGATTGCAAGAGTTTAACAATGATTTTAATTATATTTACGCTTTTGAACTATTTGATTCAAATTTTGATCCGTTTGGGTGGTAATTAAATTTATCAAGAATATAAAATTTAAGCACATTCTTTACGTGCAATTTATGTAGAGAATGTGAATTGTAAATCACCAAATTTCAAAATTTAATAATTTAAAAATAATGAAATTAATAATGTAGGTAATTAGTAAATATTTTTGCATTAGTTAATTCACTTCATAATATTAGTAGGTATACGCTTATGTATTAATTTTTTAGTTAACACAAAAGAAATACTAAAAATACTCTATATAAATTTAATACAAAAATAGAAGGTTTTAAGTAAATTTTTAAGCTACCATACTTACTATTAAAAAATACATAGGTATACATAATTTAAAACAATATTCGTTAGAGAATAACAAAAATTTTCAAAGAGTATCAGGTAGAGTTAAACAAAATGAAAAATAAATAATTACGTATAACGGTGTGTGCTCAGGTAAAACAAAAACAAATTCTTTTAATATAAACAAATTAAAGAAAAAAAACTTTTGTCTAAAACAAAATTATGTATGTACATGATGGGTATATAAAAAAAGCAACGAATACCACCAATACATTTATAAGTTGTTTCTATTGGTATAGTTAAAATATTATTAAGCTTGTATTAGCAGTATACTTAAAAAAAAAACACTGTCTACACAGTGCTTTTTAAATTTTAATGTGCCTAAACTTTGAGTAAGGTAAATATGTCGGTATATATGTAAGTATATGAAATATTAAGTTTTTTTTCTTCTTATTACATTCAAAGGTAGAAGAAAGGAAACCAACAATGTGCTGGTTATACAAAAAAAAAAAAGAAGGAAAACAGAAGAACTGGGAACCTAAAAAAACATGATTTTTAGCATAGTTATTTCTTTAAACAATGCAACTATAAGATTGAAAAAATTAAGCAGATTTATTTATCTCCAAAAGATCTGACAAATATTTTTATTCGACTTAATGCGTAACTGATAAAATTTATTGAATATTTCTGTAATTAATTTATTGTTAACATTGTATTATTAACTCATTATAAATTTCTGAAATTGTAATTAGAATTTCCATTTAACTAAAAATTGGCAATTTGAAATAATACCTAATATTTCAAAATAATATTTCTATTTTCCGGTAAATATACACAATAAATATGAATCTGAGGAAAAATCTATTTAAGTACAGAATATATTATATGTATGCAATTCGAAAATTCGCATACTTACACAACATACTTAGGTCATCCAATGTGTAACGAAAAATATCATATTCTGCAATTAATCCTGCAAGGTAAAATAGAAGGCAAAAGGCGTATTGCACGACCTACTGGCCTACAAACAATGCCACTAGTGGACACCGCACAGAACAAGGAGAGATAAGCAGACGAAGAAGAAGAATTCGAAAATTCAAAATAATATTTTTAATACCCCAACAAAAGTATTTCCTACTATTAAAAAAAATTAATAAATTTTAATATTTTATTGCATTTTAAAAATTATGCATGGATATAAATATGACGTAATAAAATTCGAAAAAGTTAAAAAGAATTCCAATTCAATAAAATAAATTTTTATTTTTACAATATGAATATGCATGTATGTATGTATATACATATACATATATATATACGGGGAACGTTAGAGATTCAAAAACAATTCAGATGATATAACAGCGATGTGAAATAATGGTAACGAAGAAACTTGCTTTCTGTTGCTTTTACTCTTACAGTAAGATACACACAATAGTATTTAGTTAGATATTCTTATTAAAACTCGTATTGAGTATTACAAGTGTTTCGAACGAATGATTTCTACTAAAAAAAATAAATACTACTTTTTAACTTTTTTTTTTTAGAAAATGAATGTAGTACTCAAATAAATAAATATGTATACATATATTTATGAGATGCAGAATAATTATATTCACGTGCATATTAATTATTTAAATCTATAAATTATTTAATGTTTAAAATCGGATTCACATTGTTATTATTTATTATGTACTATTAATATAATAATTTTGTGTACATACATATACATACATACGTACATAAAATTCTCGATTATATTATTTTATGTGCAATAATTAGTTGTGTTTTTTGTGTTATGTCCATAGATGTATTAATTTATATAATATATAAAATATCACTAGTTTGCTACAACACTGAAACAACTCAATATTTGAACATTTGACAAAACCTAATTTTAAAGGTTTTGATTTAATATGTTCTTCTAGCATTATTTTATAATATATGGTAAGCGAAAATTTCCAATCTAGGTATAGAGTTTGGCATTTTTTCACAAATAAAAAGAAATCTTATTTTTCGAGTTATATTAGTGTTGCAGTAAATAAACGAATATGCCTATATAAGGCATATACTCAGAGTATCGTATAAAATCTTTCAATTTTCAAGAAGATACACAACAATTTTTTTTTACTTTAGTTTTTGCTTTCTCCTTCTTATTTCTGAGTATTTCTAAGAAACAAAACAAAAACATTTTTTTTAACTCCATTCGTTGCCCCCTAATTCCATTCATATTTCTACTACAAAAACAAAAAAAAACTAAAATTTTTTTTGTTTTGTTTTAAAAAAATATAAAATTAGTTTTTAAGAAAATTTTGTGTTTTTACTTGTTCGTTTGGCATTAATATTCTATTGAAATAATCTAGACGAGACAATAGAAGATGAAATGAAAATACAGACAAGATATTTGGAGTAAAATTAAATTATAAAACAAAAAAACGATAATAAATGAAGAGAAAAAAGAAAGAGTTTGGATTGATTTGATGGTATGTTTCAGAAACTTGTGTTTTTTTGTAATGTTTAGAAGTGGTAATAGTGCTTGATGAAAGATTAATAATTTTAGTAATGTGTAGTAAATAAACGATAATGATATTGATAAATATAAAACGAAATTTTGAGAATAAATATCATTTATGTACATAATTACTATATACTTGTACATATTTTAAAACTGATATAAAAAGAAGAAACTGATAATTTATACAAAAACATATATACATAGATACTCTTATAAATATATTTAATTTTCTTTTAGATTCATCTTTTTCTCTTTTAGTGGAACAGTTCAAATAAAAGGTTGATTCGTTGATTCGATAGAGAAAAAACTTAATAATAAAAAAGAATGGAGCTAAAAACAACTGAATTTTTCACGCCTCTTCTTCTTCTTTTCAGTTACATGATTTTTGGAACTTTGACGGAACATAATTCGTAAAGTAATTGTGTATAAAAATACAGTTTTGTATCTCAAATGGTCGTAGACTTCTTTAACGATTAGTAAACAAAAACGCAGACATATTAAAATTAAAAAGCACTTCTTTTTCCAATTTTTTTTTTGGAATAATGTTAAAAATTAATTTAATTAGAAAATTTCATTAACGATAAGAATATAAAATTATATTAGTGCATCTAAATTTAAATTATTGGAATTCTCTAATGTTCTAATTGCCAACTGATCTATTTCTAAAAACGATTTTCTTTCACTCCATCCTTAAAAACAATAAATTGTTATTGCATAATTGTACAAAAAAAAATTTAATCACACTATAATAATAATAAATAAAAATAAAGCAAAAAAAGTGAATTACAAATTTTAGAAATCTCTTTTGCTATGTTTACGAAAATATTTTCGAGATTATAGTTTCAAATTAATGAAGTTTCACTTGTGAAAATATTATAAAAAAGAAGGGACGTCGTTTGAAGAAGGAAACATAAAGTCAAATAGCAAAACAAAACAAAAAATTATTGTTGAATCATTTTAGAAAGTTGAAAAAACTTTAAGTACAATTTCGGCGAAAATTATTCCATTTTTAGGCCTAAAAAAAAAAACAAAAAAAATCATTTTACTACGATATAAAATTAATGATAAATTCGTCATACTAAATAAGTATAAATATTTTGGAAAGTTTCCAAATTGATTTATGATATGTAAAAAAATGAAAAGCAAAAATACATTCCCATGATACAATTGTAACAAAACAAAAACAAGAAGCTAAAAACGTTCACACACATATTTTTCTTTTAATTGTATTAATTTAAATGTTAGATATTTGACATGTTAGTTATTTTGAAAGGTTTTTAGGCCTAACATTTAGTTTCAAACATTGTCAACGTTTTAAAACAATGAAAACAATTTTTTTCGGTCCAAACTCTTTCCACATGCATGAAAAATGTTACCATTTCTAACAGACAATGTAAATTATTATTTTTGCCCATTTTTCTTCTCTTTGTCATATTTTGAAAAATACTTTGTTAATTTTCAGAATCTTTATAGATAAAATTGAGTTACGTTTTAATTTACATATTATTTTAAAAAATTTAAAAGTAGACACCTTTGTACGCACACATGTACCTGAAACTCTTTGTTTTAAAATTTAAAGGATAAAATTTAAAGTAACCTTGATATAATCCAAATTTAGGAAAAATTTTTGTACAATACAGAATGATTTATGATTTTTTTTTTAATTTTAGTTTGACATAATAAAAAAATTTATTTGTTATTGTTGTTTGCCTTTTATTTTCCCATAAGAGTTTTTAAGAGTTCTACTTAGCCTAACTTTCAGTGGTATAAACTTGTTTTTTATTGCATAAATATGAGTTTTAATAAATTAATATAGTTTTATTACTTACATTTGTGTGTATATGTATATATAAGTATATTAACATGTTAAAATTAAGGGATTTTTGAGAAAAAGGGAACGTAGCTAAAATTTGTTACGTCTTCACAAAGTCACTTTATATTTATAAATAGAATTGCGAGAATCATAAACACGTAAATAATATCAACCAATCTATCAAAATTAACATGTATCGGATCAAGCCGAAACTTTTTGCATATAACATGTATATGTGTATTAATTAAATTTAAGAACTTACCCTCTTGGTTCCCTTTTCAAACTCAGTTCCTCCTTCTGATTTATCAATAGGAAGAGGTATTAACGTAACTGAAACATCTTTTATAATATCTCGAAATGATGCACTAGAAAATACAATATTTAAATAAGTTTCTTTTATTTTTTTTGATGAAATTATACCTGTTAACTTCTATAGTTTCTACAGTAGAAACTTTTAAAGAATCTGCTTTTCTCTTTTTTGAAGTTGAACCACTTTTTGTACTCGAACCAGACGTATTAACATTACTTGTATCATTGGATAAGCTACTAAAACCTGAAATGAAAATTAAGATCAAAATATGTATTAATATATTAGCGAAATTTTTCATTAAATAAGTACCGTCTTTTGGCGTAGAATTCGCTACTATAGTGTTACTTGAATGCGTATTTGTTGATGAGATCGACATGTTAGCTCCTCCTTGCTCTGAATTACTGATATTGCTGTTACTATTATTATTTCCACTAGAATCTTTATTGCTACTGCTTCTTGAATATTTGCTGCTACTCTTTTCTCTTGTAGATGATGACGAATTCATATTTAAGCCATCTCTGTCTTGACTTTTGCTTGAACTAGAAAATTTACTCGTACTTTTGCTGCTATGTTTCTCTTTATCTTTAGAAGTACTTGAGCTTGTTTTACTTGAACTTGAATTGGAAGTTTGATTTATTGAATTACTTCCAGCGCTGGTTCCACTATTTATCGCGGGGAACTGTCCACTCGCAGAGGGTTTTGCGCTACTTGACTTTCTTTGTTTAGACGACGAAATAGATTGAGAATTCGACGATGCTATACCTGAAGAGGAATTAGCATTCGAACTTGATATTTTAATTGAAGTCGTTAATGTTGAAGATGAAGATATATTTGCTTCCACATCTTTTTCTGGTGAAGATCCAGATGATGAATCTGTGTCATGGCTAATAGGTTTATAGGGTGGAATTGTTTTTACATTTCCACCTTTTTTTAATTTGCTATAATGATGTTGACAATATCCACAGTATTTGACATTGTCTAAATAATTTCCAGCTTCTTCACATAATAGTCCCAATGCTTGGGCACAAGTTACATGAAATTGCTGCTTACAACCAGATTTATTGCACTGCATGCACGCCCCTACAGTGGCGCGACTTGACTTCCCAATGTCTTGACATATATAACAAGCTAAAATGAGGAAATTATAAATTATATACATTAGAAAAAGTTGTGTTTCATAAATATATTCCATTATTTTATTATCATACATTTTGCATATCGTTCGGGCGGAATCAACTGTAAAATTATTGGCTCCATTGTTGTTACATTACCAAAACGAACTTCTGGTATATAAAGAGCACAAACAACATGCGCCCATCCAGCGTTATCTGTTTTTTTAAGTGCTCCATCACGGGACGGGCAAAGTTCACATCGAACTCTTGCTGATCTCTCTTGAGATTCACATTTGCGGCAATACCATGGTCCTGTTGGTACTGTTACAATACCATAGCATGCTTGATGAACAGCTACTGTACAATTTTGGCCATCACAATAAACAAGTGGGTTTTCAGGCCAACCCCGCTCGTCAGAACATACACAACAACCGCCGACCATCTCCTTCATGCTGGCCAACAGTAATTGGTATTTAAGTCAACCGCCTCATAACACTGTATGTTAATTTAATGTCTCATTGTGTGTAATACATTGAAACCTTTTGTATAAAAAAAAAAATCAAAAAAAAAAAAATTTTTTATGAGGTTGACAATTGATGGATTGTCAAATCCACTTTTGTTCGTTTTTTAGTTGTTAATTGTAGAAATATCAAATGTTTTTGTGTCTGAAAATAGAAAGGAATAAATATAATTATATTATTTTGTTTACATATATATGTAGATAGGATATTTTGAATTTTGAGAATTTTTTACATAATATTTTCGGTTTTAAAAATCAGAATTAAATGTAATTTTTCTATGTATAACACGTCTATGTTGTTAATATCGTGATATTATGGGAGGATTTATATATTTGTATATATGTAATTAAAAATGTATATTGCAGACCTGCATTTAATTATATTTAAACAATAGAATTCGGTATTTGATTATTATAAAACACATAATGAATTTTCAAAACGAAGCATCACCCTACAATTAATTAATTATCCTTTTTATAAATTTTTTGTTTTAATTTATTTTCCGTTATTAGTAGGTATTGCCTTTATCGTAACTTTCAATATGGAATGGCTAACTACTTGCTAATGTTAATACAATCAAGATTTGACTATAAATTGGACTAATGCCTATTTTATGTTAGAATTTTGTGAAAATTTTAAGAAAAAAGTGGTTCTTTCTATTGTAAATAAAAGTTTCTATTCGCACCATTGATTGTTGGATAATTCTACTTATTCTAAATAAAAAAATGTAAATTTATATTTTAATTTTAAATTGATTGTATCATATAACATAAATATAACATGAAAACGTATAGGTACTACCTACGTAGATATTTCCCAAATATTTCAAATAAACAAACGCCTCACGCTATTTAATATAATATGTACATATGTATATAAGTGAAGTTCAAGTGTATCAATTATAAAATCAAAACACAAAAAAAAACGTAATAAAACAACAAAATACAAAAAAAAAAATTAAAAACAGCCGCAGCGCACCAACCCAATAGTAAATTCAGTCGCAAAGGGGTTAACGACCCCATTAAAAAATAATAATAATAAAAAAAAGTGACAGAACGGTTGAAAATCATATGGATAATGGGAGAAATAAACACAAACTTGATTCATTTTATTTTGAATTAAGTGGATATGAATAAAAAACTATATTGAAAAAAAATAATTGATAGGATTATTTTATACCAAAAATATTAAAAAATTATTGCTTGTAAAATTAATTAAATATTAATTTTTATAGAATTTAAAATTCTAATTAGAATAGGTATATATATATGTATATATATATATTTTACATCGGCCTTGAAATTCCCAATCAAATATTTATCTACTGATAAATATATATATTATGTAGCTATGTATTTAAAAACCACTTAAACAAGCATTTTCAATTCTGAAAATAAATTAAATGGACATGCACAAGTAATACCTAATAGATAAGTTCAATATATGCGTATAAATGGCAGATGTCTTCCTATGCCTATCAAGATAAAATGGTAAATTTCTGTAATAATATAAATATTTATGTATGTTAGTATACCAGGGATGTATAGAATACAAATTTACTTCTAACATAATAGAAAATAAGTGGATATGTGCCTACATATATATTTGAGATAATTAGCATCGATTTTACGTAATAAAAGTAAAACTTTTCAAATACTTGTAATAAATAATAATTTAATTTGCAAATTTTCAATAAAAAAAATCACATTCTCTTACAAAACTTTAGAATTTTTTCTTAGTTATAATTTGATAAAAATCCATGTCATAATATAGTATGCCTACATACAAGAATCTGCCAATCTGTAGGAATCTATTTATGTTTTATAATTATTTGTAAAATTAAACCTAATTAAATTAGAGTTTAAATTTGATTAAATTATTTTACAAAATTTGAGGAAAATTTATATAAGTACTCAATTCGTTTCAGAATCAAAAAAAAAAAAAAAAAATCTTGAACAATTTTCTAAATTAGGTATGGAGGACAACCAAATATGTCTACACATCCTAATAATGCAGCCTGCGCCTTAATTAAAAAGAAAGGAAAAATATACAAATTTTTATATATTATACACACTATATTATTTTAGATTTTACCTACCTAAAAAATTATTTGTCCTTTGATAAAAAATCATCAATATAAAAAATTATTTTCAAGTAATATAAAAATCACGTGCTCTAAAATAAATTTATATTTCATTTGCTTTTTATTATTTTGAAATTTTTTAAGTTTATTTTTATTAGTTGATGGTGCTCTACCTAGATAAAAATTGAAATGGAATGAGGGAGAATACAAAAAATTTTTGCGCGCCTCCAAATGGGAGCACCACATACACACTGATACCACTAATTAGAATTTTTTTTTTTTTCAATTGTTTACAAGAACTTTTATTCTTTTACGATTTTTTTTTTTCAAATTAAAGTTCTACATTATTTTAATTTTAATTTACATTATTATTTTATTTAGAAATGTATAAAATTTTATAATTTGAAACTTTTTTCTTTATTAAAATTGAGTAAATATTTTTTATTTTGCTTATTTTTTTGGGAGGACCTCGTGTGAAAAATTTTTTCAACCTCCTTATACCTTTGCAAAAATACTTAATTTATTTTTTTCCAACACTTTCCATAAGATTTTATTTGAGTTTTTACTGTATTTCATTGCAAACAATAAAATTTTATAAAAAAATATTTATTTAAAATTTTTTTGTTTGTATAGAACTTCAGAATTTTATTTATTATCGAAAAGAATAAACCGATTAAAGAAACGCCATTTTGTCTCTATAAAAACAATACATTAGAATGAAAGGGAAGAAATTGAAAATTTTCTAAATTTTATTGATTCGTATGACCAAAAGAGATCAAACTATATATTAAAATTATTTGACATTTCGAAGCCCTGTAATTGTTTGACAACTGTTATACAACATAAAATTGTTAAGAACCAATATCGAATGCAATAAAAAATAAAAAAGAAATTCTGAGGCTTACAGCAAAATTAATAAAAAAAAGTTGAATAACTGCATTCATGCTAATTGCTTCAGGTGTTACGTTAAGGGCCAAAACTAATTCAAACTAAAACTTAAGTTCTGTCCATATATAAACGCGACGTATAAAAAGCGATTGCCATAATTTATATTGATACAAAATTTTATATTAAACTTCTAGAATCCTAGATGCCAAAACTTGGATTGCCAACACCAATATACACATAAAACCAATATACGTACATGTAAAAAGAGCTTAATAGACGTACATATATGTAAGTATATATACATATATACATAATGTAGTACATATATGTAGTACATATACGTATGTAGTACATATATGTGTAAATTACCTTTGTTATTTTAAGTCAAACCATTTTCATTGAATATTTAAACTATATCGACATACATAAATTAATAATTTTAATTTTTTAATATTAGTTCATTGTAGGCTTTTAAAAAATATCTGACAACAGATGTCTCTTTCCAAAATAACAAAAACCTTTTGTTAAATTATTCTAATTGACACCAGATGTCACATTTGACGAAATGGCTTTGTTGGCATTGGCGCTGCTGTAAAAAATTGGCATAGTTGCATATTCCAATCGACTTCCAGTGTCAGACATTAAAACGAATTGATTTGGTCAGAGATTTCGAATTTTTTTTTAAATATAAAATTTTTGTCGAAGTAAGATTTTTTAATTGTAACCGGTGCTTAAAATTGAAATTATTGAAAATATGGCAAATATTAAAGCTGATTGTTTTGTTATTTTGCCACCTTATACTGAAAATAATGCAATTGTATTTGGTCGGAATTCATTGGAACCAAAGGGAGAGGTTCAAAAAATTTCATTCCATGTAAATCAGAATACTCTAGTATGAATCATCATAAAATTTAAAGACTATTTTTTTTTTTATAAACAGGATGATGGTGACATCCCGATAATAAGTCAGCATTTTGATTCTGGAAGTGAAAGTGGTGCTAATGCAAAAAATGTTTCTGTTGGACTTGTTTGGACTACAAATGAGTCTGACGATTTAAAGTCTACCGATATAGTAAAGTAAGGAATTTTACAATACATTATTGTTTAAAAAGAATCACGTAAAAATGAAATTTTTAAGGAACGTTCTTCAGAATTCTTCGACAGCAGAAGAAGCAGTTCAAAATATTGGTAATTTAATAGAAACAAAAGGAAATTCTGAATCTAAGTATAGTTTCGTTGTTTGCGATACATCAAGCGCATGGCTTATTAGTACCGGTGGTCAGTTATGGGCCGCTGAGATAATCGAAGGATTTCGCAGAATTCCATCAAATGGATTGGCAGTAACAACAAAAATAGATAAATCAAGTGAAAATTTAGGAGATAAATTAAAAGACTTGGGTTTATGGGATGGAAATGTAAATTGATATTAAGATTCGTTTTAATGTAAAATATTCATTTCTTATACTTAATTTCAGGATGATTTAGATTTCGCTAAATCATTTTCTTCAATTCCTAATGAAGAAAATTGGCCTGAAGGTTTAAATCCAACTGATGATGGAACTTTCAATCTTCGTAATATGTTAGATATTTTACGTTCAGCCGCTAATGATGATGCTGGATCTAGTAGTGTTTCCATTTTAACACCATCTGGTATCTCTTGCCATTGGTATACTGCTACGCCAAATCCATCGGAATCGGTTTATAAACCATTCATTTTTTCGCCTGCACCGAAAATTTCTCCTTTAACCATAAAAGTAGATAACGGAGACTCCATGACTATGCTTCAAAAATTACATTCTCAACGGAACTGGGAAAAAATTGGCGATCTTTTAAAATCTTTAGAATCAACTTGTATTGATGAAGTTAATCAATTTTTAAGCGAAAATCCAGAACCAAATCAAGAATTAGATGAATTAATGAAGGATTGTGTTGAAGCTGAAGTAAAATTCTATCGCTAAACGAATAATTTAATGTGATTTTTTATGCTGCTAAATCTCAAGATTAATGTAATAGAAAGATAAATATTAGAAAAAAAAAAGAAAAAACTTAAGTTGCCTTATGAAAGCAAAAGGCTTGTCTATATATGCTTAAATAATTTCAAAAAGAAACGAAATTTGATTTAAAAAAAAAAAAAAAAACAAAACCGAAATCCTGATCATGATCATAAGAGTTTTTAAAACTTATTTTATTAATGCATTTAACGGATTTTATTTTTAAGTTCTTTTTTTTTTAAAAATAAATTGTGATATCATTTATTTCCATAATCGAAATTAAATTATTAATTTAAAACTAAAAAGTAGATTTTTGAAGAATCGAAAGTGATGTATGTATATACATTCCCTTACTTTTAATTTTTTAATATTCAAGCTTTTTCTAATGTTTTAATTGCTGGACTTTTTGTGAAAAAATATCCAAAAAATTTATAATTTCAAATTTTAAATGTGAAAGCAAAACATGAAATTCTTAACAAAAAATCAGTAAGCATTTAAATTATCATTTTTGAAATTAATTAATTTAATAATTTTATTAATGAAAAAGAAATTTAATTGAGATTTTCACAAAAATTCAAGTTTATACATAGTTTTAAAGCTTAATCATCACTTTGATTTGAGGATGACGAAACATTTAAATTTACATTAACTGAAGAATTTTATTAGAATGACAGAAAGTAGACTACTCTCTTTAGTTATTCTTAAGCTTAGTATTTAATAATTTATAAAGATCTATTTATTTGCTTGTCGATGTATATTTATATTTAAGATTAAAATACAGATAATTCTTATATAATAACAATGCTTTAAAATGAAAATTTCGATATTTATTATATTAGTATCATATTAAACATAGCTTACCAAATATAATTTTGACAAAGACTGTAAAACAGAAATTTGATATTTTTTTGGCAAGTTGGTTTTAATATTCCTTTTAACAACATGTTGTTGTATAAGATTATTTGAACGTTTTGTAAATAAAAATTTGTAAGTGGAATAATTCATATTAATAATCATAATTAAAAATTTGAATAAGTTACGAAAATAATATAAAAAAAAAAGTCTATTACAACTCTACTTGCAAATTTAATGATACGAAATTTTTATGGTATAAGTTACACATTTTGGTTTTTTAGACCTACTTGCATTTATTGTGTTTTCTTTTATTTGCTTTTATCACTTGGGCACAAAATACTTTTTATATATTATGTATATTATATAAATATCAAAAAATAATTAAAAATATCGAAAATTCAAATAATATTTTTGTTTTATCAACACTGAACGAATATCAATTATGTTGAATATTTTTTTTAAAAATTGCAAAATATTTGAATTCAGTAGAAAATTAGAATTAAAAATAATATAAATATAATGAAAAACACAACATTTAATAATAACGACATTCCAAAAACACATCTTAAAAACTTAAAATTATAATCACAAAGAAAAAAAAAATAATTTTTAAATTTTTAACAAAATTTTCATGTTAATTAAAAAAAAAACCGATTTTTTCTTATTAGATATGATCAAATTAATAACTAGTCATAACATAACTGTGAGGACGAGCCTTCAAATTTTATAACAGTCTGTAGTACTAATTGTGCGGTAGTACTAATTGTGTGGCTCAGTATTTTGTAGTAGTTGCCGAATTGCTCGGCAATACAGTATTCGTTTAATCTTAAAGTTAAGAAAAATTATTTAATATGTTTTAAATAATCGACTCAACAATTTAAAATCGTTTAAGTGCTAAATATTTTATTCACTCGCATCACTTGTCATGATGGGTTCTTATTTAAAAATTTCGAAAATAGTAATATTTTTAAATAGTAATAATAATTTCGAAATTAAAAATTGTATACATACAATTTAACAGAATGTGTATGCGACTAACATAATGAGGATGATTATATTTTTATTTGTTTCTATATTATCATCATTAAATATTTTATAAATTTTTTTATTTAAAATTACTAAATTGTGTTTTATAAATTTCACATTTATTGAACTTAATATTTTTACGTGCATTTAAATATAATAGAGATAATCAATTTAATTACTGAGGTTTGATCATATCTATTCAAAAAATAAAAAATAAAAATTTATTTAATCGAATATTTAAGTTTAAAATACCCAAGTTAAAAACAATAATGCTTAAATTTTATATGCTTTTGTGTAAAATGTTCAACAAAAACAGTTTTAAAATGTCTACAATTAAAAACAGTCAGTATTTAATCGTCTAATATTGATTACAAAACAAAATTAAAAAAAATATATAATGAAATACATGATTTTGAAATACGATAATATACGTGATTCGACTAGTTTATGTTCAAATCAAGAAACTATTTTTGTATTTTCTAAATAATTTATGTTCTTAAGTATTATAATTAAAAAAAAAAGAAGAAATTTTTATGTTATTTTAGAGCTAACGTAATTAGTTCTAAATGCCAAGTGAATATTTTTAAGAATATTTTAATTAAATTTTTACTATTTTTAATAAATTATAGGGGGTTAATATAACTCATAAAAAGGTACTTAAATGTTTTAGTTGATTCAGAAATTGGATTTGCCTTTAATATTTTATTCTTTGATTTAGAATTGCAATAAAGAACAAAAACTCATAATAAATAAATATATCAAATTTTTTTCAAACTTTTAAAGTTAAAACATAAATAATATGTTTGATGACGTTTATCGTATTTCATTAAATTATTAAATATATTTATATTACATATATTTCAAAATACATACATATATGTAAATTAAATAAACATAATACAATATTACTTTGCATATAAGATACAATGTTCTCAAAATATATTGCATGTGATTTATCAATATATTAAAAATAAAAACAAAAAAAAAAATAATGATAATTATATACAAGACATCACCTAGACTTAAAGTTTTTTATTTTCCTTATTTAAAGCTATTTTTCTCTTTTTTAATCAAATAAATTATTCTATTTATTCAGTCAATTCCTTTTATTTTTTTTTGATTTCTCGTAATCACATTATGATCTAGAAAATTTAGAGGTCTTGACCTTGATTTAAGTAAGAATTTTACTTTTCACAATAATATTATACGTGTTGTCAGATTATGTAAGAGAAAACCTTTTAATAATTTACTTTAATTTACGAGGACCAGATAATTTAAGACATCAAGAATTCATAGCTCAAATCGTATACCATTTATGTAGAACTTTATTTGAAATAGAGAAATTTAAGAAATAATATAATGATTTCTTTTCAAAAGAAGTTCTTAAATACACACTTAAGAGACATGAAGTATCGTTTTTATATTATAGATTATATGAGATTTTTTTTGTAAGAATCGAACTTTAAAATGACTTCTATGAATATTAGACTTGTACATAAACCTAGTTTAGAAAGAATTGCTAATTGATTGTTGTTATTGATGAAGAAATATTGAAGTTTTCTTTTAGTTTTTACTATACAGGAAGCAAAACGCTGTTAGGCGGTCGAAGCCATAGACGGCACTAGGCGGCATTTTACTGTATTATAGACGGCACTAGGCGGCGTTGTACTGATTAATTTTTTTATGTTCTCTATATATTTTTTCATAATGTACATATGTATATGAATAAAGGTCAATGAATTTTGAAGAGGAAAAAAAAAAATGAAACCTAATTTTTTAATAAACTTTTAAAGATTTTCAACTCGTGATTCATAAGAAATCTTGGTTTTTATTACCATTAAATCTTTTAATTTGAATCAATAGTTTTTTTTTTTGTTATCACAAAAAATAAAAAATTAATATGTGCTAAATATAACAAAATTAATTTTTAATATTTCAACAGCACGATCATAATTATATTGTATACATTGCATCGCGTGCCGTAAATATTAAATGAATTGAAAATGCATCTTAAATGAATCATTCAATTTATTTTATTTTACAAAATAAGCAATTGTTTTTTTACTTCAATCTTCAGCCCATCGTGTTTTACTTGTCTTGTTAGCTTTCGATTTTTATATGATTGTGATGATGATGATGATAATGATGACGATAAATATAAATCATGTTTTTAATAACTCGTTAAACATTATTGTTAACACATAAAATATCTTTATGAAATATTAATTAAATTTGATATATTGTGCAATTAATAAATTATGAATCAATTTTTTTTTTTTTGTGCTATAAGTTTATTATTTTTGTTGTGTAAAGTGTCCGTGTAAGTACATAAAGGTAAATAAAGTGTTTTATTAAACGAAGAACGAACAGAACAATAATCAACCAAATAATGAGCAAAAAAAACCAAGCAAAAAAAAAATTTGTGTGAAAATTTCTATATTAGGTATGCAGCTAAATATACGAGTATATGTAAAAAATTAAAAAAAAAAATATATTACATGAGGTTGATTTATTAGCAATATGTTATAATTATGTATGCAATTAAACTAGGTTTTCTTACAAAAAAAATTATAAATCACACAATATTTTAACATTTTAAATAAGAGAGATGATTTGAATTTTTATAAAATTTTACATTTAAATTCCAATATTGTGTTCAGTACTATAATTACAACATTATTATTAATTTAAAATAAGAAAGTATCAACTGAATGATATTAAATAGAAACTTGCGTTGGCAACTTAATAAAATTTGATGGTAAACTTTAGCATAATATTGCTGCTGTAGGCAGCTTTTTGAACTATTTTCAGATTTTTCAACTTTTTTAATTAAGTTAGATATATGTACATATATAAGTTTTTTTCTGGCAGTCTTTTGGTCAGAAATTAAAATCGAGGAGCCTTTTTAATAACTGTCATTTTTGCTTTTAGTCAAAGCTTAAATTTCTTCTAATTCGACTTTATGGGATTTAATTAACTAGAAGATTAATAATATGATTTCGAAGCGTGTCAGTTTTTAAATTTCAATATTTTCCGATTAGATATGGTTATGTAAATAATTTAGGGTCACCATAACCAAAATTATAAGCGATGATTTTAACAACGTAGAACTCTTGAGAGAATAAGTTAAGAGAAATCTTATGAAAATTA